TTTTTAGTTCTTCCTGAAAATCAATATGGAAATTGTATAAAATTATTTGAGGATCATTGGAATAAGATTGTTCAATTTTAGTAAAATTATATTGAATAAAAAAACAAATTTCATTAGATAATACACATTCTTTCATTTTTGCTTTCAAAACTTTTCAAGCAATCTGCATGTTAATTAAAAAAAAGAGTTTTAAGAATTGTCGTTGAATATTTTAATAGCACGAATTTGTAATGAAGTTAAACAACTCGTTTGTAATTTTTATACATTTTTACGTAAACTTATAACAAATAACATTCCACAAAAATTAGTGTAATTGAGTTATTAAAATCGTAAAGTATAATCTCCATCAAACATTCTAACGCCTGTCTCTTGGTCCAGTGTAATAATGTGTAAATGAATAAAATTTTGAACTTATGACCAAGTGCTCTGCTTTTTCTTTCGTCTGCATAAGGTTTTTGATAAACCAGTCAGAGACATTCTACAATATGTTGGTTCTGATACATGTTGAATGGTATTTTCGTTCTTAAAGAAAGTTTATTTATCTAGTCAGCAAGTTCAAGACAATTATTCCAAATTTTTAGAGTACTGTTACTGTTATTTTAAAGTACTGTTTTTGAGTGATTCTCCACAACGTGATGTTTGACTTACTGTTTCTGGAGAAAATACACAGAGCTAGGTGGAAGTTGATGCACTATGCAAAAATTTGGATAACTAGACAGCAATTCAAACTTACAGTTTACAATCAAATCTAGTTGAAAGATAAGAAATTGTGGAGGCCTGTTGTACACAAAAACTTAAACCAATGCTTTGGTTAAAGTGTTTATTTTTCACTTTTTTGTTTATCTATAGAATAAAATTGTCTAACCTAATTGATGATACTGTGAAATATATTTGAGATTTTCAATTCGACAGTTTTTCAATCTTTGTTATTTTGATTTTAAATTATCAAACTGTTTTTTGTTTTTTTTGACCAATTACTTTTTTCTTAAATTATGTATGTATTATATATATATATATATATATATATATATATATATATATATATATATATATATATATATATATATATATATATATATATATATATATATATACATATATATATATATATATATATATATATATATATATATATATATATATATGTATGTATATATAAATATATATATATATATATATATATATATATATATATATATATATATATATATATATATATATATATATATATATATACATATATATATATATATATATATATATATATATATATATATATATATATATATATATATATATATATATATATATATATATATATATATATATATATATATATATATATATTATGGTTATGGCGACAAAGCTATCGAGATTTAGGGTTGGACTGGCATTAAGGGGACGGGGGGGGGGGGGGGAGACATAGATGCAAGGCTGCCTTATATATCAAAATTTCCTTATATTGTATATGAAGTACCTTTTTCTTTTTTAGGTATCTTTTTTCATTTGTGCACCTTGAATATCTGCCGCCCGGGACAAAGTGTCCTACGCGAACCCCCTCCCTCTTGGAGGCACCACATAGATGGGGCCCTCATAGGTAGCAAAAATTTAGCAAAAATACATTAAACCCTTAATCACATAGTTTTTTTTTTTAAAAGGGTATAGAAAATAAAAATTGATGCATTTTTACAATAATTAGTTATTATTAATTTGTATTTTTGTGTGTTTTATTTGTGTATCTTGATTAATAGAGAGGTGCAGGACCTTTAGACACGGCAGTGGCCCGGGGAGGGGGAAATACCCCCAACCTCCCTCACCAGTCCAACCCTGTTGAGATTTATTTTCAGATACCTAGGAAAGACATTGCTGAAGCACCAAATCAATAACGAATTAATGTAGAACTCTTATGCTTATAGTATACCTTCTGTCACTCACTTAGTAAATCTAGAAGGAAATTGTGCATCAAGTTGTAGTAAAACAAGTAAAACAATATACTTTTTTTGCTTGCTAAAGGCGATATCTCGAACTCTTAGGGGATCGGGAAAACCATATAACTTTTCTACAGTTTCTACTCGTCAACCGCAAAAGTTGATGACTAAATCTGGTAACATTGAAAAGTTTATAAACAACTTGCTGGTCCTAAAAGAAAGACGCCGGTCAATATTTAATGAAATTTAGAAAAGAAATATTTACACTACTCTTCATGAACTCGTAAATATCGTTCTTCAAAAAAACATAGCTAAGAAAGAAGCTAGAGGTAGGCAAAAATGGTAGTTAAAATCTGTTTCGAACATAACAAATATGACCAGTAAAAAAATACAAAGTATCGATATAAATATTTCAGCAATAGTATTTTATCATCCACTTTAAATTTATTTTAAGTAATTATTCAAATAGTATTGGAAATAACTTTGATGAACTCGAGAAAATAGCAAAATGACAAAAAAGGACTACGAAGGAAATAAAAATTGTAACCAAAAACAACATTACTGAATAGTTAAGATAAAACCGATTTAAAAATTTTTTAAAAAATTATTAAAAGACTGTTAGCCGAGCTAAAAAATGACAATTTGCTACGAGTTTATGCGACGGTTTTTCGGCATTAAAACTTAATGAACAATAAAGAACTTCTGGAAAGAAGTGTTGGAAAAAACATTATTGAAAAAAGACTTGAAGAATGTATTTATTTAGTTGAAGAATGCATTTATTTACGAACGTTTTAAGAACGTTCTCGTCATGAAGATATCTATATACAGTTTATGTAATACGAAAAAGAGATTTCACTGATATATATCTAAAAGTCGATATTCCACTACGAATACTTAAAATTATAAAGTGTTCGTCAGAACAATTATTATTTTTGTTCTTTGACGGATAAAAAGTAACTTAAGAACGACGATGAAAGATTAAATAACCAGTTAATCTGGAAAATCTAGAATATGAATCTGACATTCTAAAAAACTTTTATTTCTATGAAATCATAAAACAACTTTTCCAAGCAAATCTACGATGCAAAAATACGACACAAAGACATACTTATCTGTTTATTACCCGCTACTGATACTATCAAGAGGTCGGGGATTATGTTGCTGTCGTTTTATTTAACAATTTTTTATATATTTTTATTACTTAATAGAAATTTTGCTCTTTAAACTATGCTTTATTTTATTGTACTGCAATCTTTAACGTTTTAAATTTATTAAAAATTGTTTAACCAATGAAAATTGTTTCTTTCAGTAATTTGATATTGCAAGGAAACAGTATAACTGTATCTTTATTGTCTTTTATCGTCTTGTTGCTTTTTGATGTTTTTCTAAAATTAATCATAGCCAAGTAAACATAATGAATGCTTACTGACAGGAAATAATATTCAAATGAGTTTAAACAGAAGATGACAGCAAAGCATGAAAAAAAAAAAAGAGTTTTTAAAATTCATTTTAAAAAATTAAAAACTTTTTATTGAAGCTAATAAAAATGGTCAGCTGTATTATTCATTTGTAATGTCACGTTCAAATGGGTTACAATAATAAAATAAACAATTTTTAGTAATTTAAAAAAATTTATAATCAAATATCCAATTAATAAATAGTTGTATAAGAAAAACTTTTTTTAAAAAACTTGCACATCGATTGATTATATCGCAAGATTACTTTTTTTAAAACTTGCACATCAATTGATTATATCGCAAGATTACTTTTTTCATCGAGATAAATGTTTACTAAAACATATTACGAGATCTGGTTGATAAATTGCAAATGGTTACTTCATAAAAAGAAGCGTATCTTTTCATAGCATTTTTTGTATAGATTATTAATAAATTATTGGATATAATTTAAAAAGAATTTAAATAAAAGTGAGACGGCAATTAAAAAATTGACTGGATCCAGAATGTTTTAGTGATAGATTTTTCATATATTGTGAGTCTTAAAAAAAAGAAAAACATTAACTGGTGCTATCAACTTCAACGTGTGAAAATAGATTTTTGAAAAAAAGAAACCTTAGGTGAGATAAAGTTTACCATTAAAACTTAAAAAAAAAGTTGTTTGGCGTCCAAATTTAATTACTTGATGAAGTAAGTTTTGCATCGTAAAAAATCGCATAACAAAAGTAAAATATTTTCATGAAATTTCAAATCTACGAACATATTTTGTGGAATTTTCTTACATTTGAGGTGGTGATATTTTTTTTTAAAGTTTCTAAGATTTAAGGTGGTGACGCCGATTCTGCGATAAAATCATTACAGTTTTTAACTAAAAGTTATTAGTTGAAATGAAGACAAAAAAGCATGCATGAATTTTTTGCCTTCAGCATTCTAAATGTATCTTAGCATGCTAAATGTAGCTAAGTTTAAAAATATCCTGTATCAAATTCTGCATCTATCAAAAAGAAAAAATCAAATTAAAATCAAAAGTAATTTAAGATTAAATTTAAAAACGTGTTTTAAATTTTTTTAATTTTTAAAAATCAACTTGTCATCACGTCATTTTTTGTTTTGTTTTTGTAGCTGTTCATTGTTTATCCTGCTAAATATTTTCTTCCCAATATAGATTAAACGCTATGTGTTTATTTCATTTAGGATTGAAATTCAAGTTTAAGGTACAATCTCATGCTTTAAAGCTAGCAAGTTATTAAGAAGTTATTTATATATATATATATATGTAAAAAAGATTGTATATTTTAATATATACCTACTTTGTTTAAACATATATCTGCCTTGTTTAGTTACTTGATTTAATTATTTCTTACGTCTTTTTAATTTTCATATGAATAATATTTTCAAATGAATAATATTGTTTATTGTTTATTTTAAACAGAGCAGTACTTCTGGTTTTACTTGTTACCAACATTAACTGTTTCCTTAAATCAGTGAAATAATTTATCTCGAGTTATTATAATTTATCATGTTATAACGTTATAAATTATTTACACGAATTAAATTATTTCGTTATACACGTTGTACTTTAATTTTTGCTCTTTATTCTTGCATTGTTCTTGATTATACGGTTTTCGTTTTTATTTTAAGTTTGGTTTTAGATTTTGACATTTATTTTATATCTTAGATATTAAAAATGAGAAGGAAAATTAGGGAGATAATAGGATCAAAGTACTTTCACGAGTTTCTTGCTGAAACAATTGGTACAATGATTCTTTTGGTAAGTTTGGTAAACCTTTAATTTGTAACCAAATTAAAGGGTTTAAATTTAAAACTTTTAAGTCTACCATTTAAAAAAAAATTATCCTATTGAATAAAATTACTTTTTCCAATAAATAAGAGGGGGAAAAAAGTGACTAAAGTTTCTTAAGGTGACTTACTAACAAATTAAAGTTTCTCAAGGTGACTTATTAACCAATTAAAGTTTCCTAAGGTTTTTTTTTTAGATATTTAAGACTATTAAGACTAAAATTAAATTATTTCATATTTTTTTTAGCTTTTTGGTTTTGGGAGTATGGCTCAGACTTTCACTGGAAAGGGAAAGTTTGGTGGAATATTATCTGTAAACTTTGGTTGGGCAGTTGGTGTAATGTTTGGTATATTTGTCTCAGGAGGGGTTTCAGGTAGCTTTTTTTGTTTGTTTGTTTATTTGGTTATATTTTTTATATTTACAATTTCTATTCATTTTATTTTTATAAAGGGGGACATTTAAACCCAGCAGTTACTTTAGCAATGACTGTAACTAAACGATTACCATGGGAAAAGTTGCCAATATATTGGCTAGCCCAAAGTATTGGAGCATTTATTGCATCAGCTATTGTGTATGGAGTATATTACGGTAAGTTAAATTTTTTTTCTTATATTGAATACTAAATTGAATTGCATGCAATAATGTAGGACTATTAGTTATGTAAAACAGTTAGTAATGTGTTTCGTACTAAATCAAATTTAGATTTACTCATGGCGTACGATAATGGAAAACTTGTACCTGACGCTGCTTATATTTGGGCAACACGTCCCTATCCGGGGGTATCAACTGCTACTGCATTTGCAGATCAGGTATTGAGTTTGAAACTTGATGTAAAAATTGATTTTTACGATTCACTAACGTTTAGTCAAAAGCGATTATTTTTTTGTAGTTTGTGAGCAGTGCACTTCTAGTTGGCATAATATTTGCACTTACTGATAAGCGCAATAGTGGTCCAAGTCCCCAACTGTTGCCTCTTTGTGTTGCTTTGATTGTGCTTGGTATAGGAATTTCATTTGGAATTAATTGCGGCTATGGCATAAATCCAGCGCGTAATTTAATGCCTAGAATATTTACATCACTTGCTGGATGGGGGTCGGCACCATTTACGTAAGATTAATGATTTTAATAAAATAAATTTCCTTGTTTATTTGTTATTGTTATATATATGTATAGACGTATATTTGTGTTGTTAAGTTAATTGAAAATTTTTTTTTTAATTTAATTGAAATTTTTTTATTAAATTGACTACTTTTTTTTTGGCATTTCAGCTATCAACACTATTATTTTTGGGCCCCAATTCTTGCACAGCTCCTCGGAGGTGTTATGGGTGGCTTAATATATATTGTGACAATAGAAATGCACCATAAAGAAATAAATCATTTTAACGATGAAAAAAGTGATCCCAACATATCTTTGAAAGTAAGAAAAGTAACGTTTCCAAGTCATTCTGGCTAAGCATATTTTAAAACTACAGTTTGTTCGGTTTTATATCATTGAAGGTTCGATATTATTGAATACAAATACAAAACATCAGTTTTAAAACACTTTTTAAAACATGCAAATTACAAGCTATAAATAATTTAATTTTTGCAAACTATTTAACATAAACTTTTTTTCTTTTTACTCACTTTTTTTGCGTAGTTTTTTTGATTTTTTAAACCTTTAGAGTAGATAATTTTTTTTTTTTTTTTTTTTTTTTTGATATAAAATTTAATTTAAAACATTTTCAATTTTCTACCATTATAGTTTTAAACTTTATATGTTTAGATTTTATTTAAGATTGTTTACACTTTACCTAACAAAATGTTTTTGTATTTCTACTATTTTTTGTAAAATTAAAACTTAGAGATAGAAAAAAAAAAAAAGCAGAAAAAAACAACATAAAAACAATAATGGCTATTTCACATAATAGTCGAGGGTTACCACACTTAGTGTTAGTTGAGGGTCGAGGTTTACTACACTTAACCGTAAAGAATTATATAAATGGTTGATCCAAATCCATCCAATTTTCATACTGATGGAAGATTTGTTGTATGATCTGTTTTAACACCGTAAGTTTTAACACCATATGTTTTAATACCGTAAGTTTTAACATTGTAAGTTTGCATCTATTTTTTGTGACTGTTTCTTAAATAAATTATTCTTTTTTACTTCAATTTTCTGAAATAGGTCTGCTTTAAAATAATTTGCATCGATTGTTCCTACGCGCAAAAAAGGCATTTTTTTTTTTTTGATTATGTGTACTAATATATGTATATATATATATATATATATATATATATATATATATATATATATATATATATATATATATATATATATATATATATATATATATATATATATATATATATATATATATATATATATATATATATTTATTTTTGCTGTGGGCATTTATTCAGCAAAAGTGCTCGATGAATGATATCAGAGTTATTATAATTGATTTTTTGACGAGATTAAATAAACAACTTTTACTACTAAAAGTTTCATGTGTTTTGCAATCATCAGGTAAAAAATACATTGTTTTTTCCGTTAAAAAATATATACTCTTAGTAAACATCATGACGTTCAAAAACAATTATAAAACTGTTACTATTTGCAAACGTGGTACAGTTTTTTAACCTTGGGGCTCGTAGTTGCCAAGCAAGAATTTGTTTTTGTTGCGGCACTTGAATACTCCGTTTTTTTTTTATTTAATTCCGTTTTTTTTTTATTTAATAACTCTTGCGTACCTATGCATGATATTAGGTAAAGTTTTTCATGAAGGCAAAGCAAACATTTTTTGTCACGTTGCTGTAGATGGGGACTTGTTTAATTATTAACCAGGTTAATTTGGGTCTTATTTTTAAGTTTTTTTTTTTATCTGCTATATATACTTTAAAAGGGTGGTTAAATTTTACAGCTTTTTATTTGTGAATGAGTGTTTGTGGTTAGCCCACCGGGTTTTAACAGTTTTATAATTGTTTTTGAACGTCACGATGTTTATTAAGAGTATTTTTTTAAAGGATAAAACAATGTATTTTTTAAAAATAATATACATTTTAGGTGGTATCAAATGCATACGTTTTTATACTTGTTTTTTAATATTTCTTCAAAACTGTCAATTGTTTTCTGTTTTTGTGACTATGCTTGGTTGTGTAGTTTTGTTTAAATTTTTTTAATACAAAAATTTCAAATTCTTCTGAAAAACGTTTTTAATTAATATCAGCAAGATAATGAATAAATGTCTAGCACAACTGAAACTATTTTATGTTAAACTGTGATAAACTTTTTGTTGCTTAGAGTAACAACATTATAAGAACTTTAAAAATAAAGGTGATTCTAATGAGCTGTGCACAGTGGGACCTAGGATGGGCAAAAGTAATTTTTTTTTAATGGTTTTATACAAGGTAGATTCAAAAGAACACTGAATATTGATATGTTAAAGTATCAAAAAATTTTGAAAATATCATTAATGAGATATTTAGATAAAATCCCGATGGATAAAATCTGCTGCACTAAAAATATCAAAAGAATAATAAAAAGTCACAAAAAGATAATTATTTCAGAAAGACCAAAAGAATACCCAACCTGCAACTGCATAAATAAAGAAAACTACCCTATAATAAGAAAATGTAGAGTCTTTAATATTATTTATAAATGTATAATTTTCCCCTAGCACTCCAGAAAAAGTATATATTGGCCTAGCCGAAGGTGAATACAAAAAAAGATGGGCTGACCACAAACACTCATTCACAAACAAAAAGCTAAAAAATTCAACCACCCTTTTAAAGTATATATAGCAGATAAAAAAAATTAAAAATAACACTCAAATTAACCTAATCAATTATTAAACAAGTCTATAGCAACGTGACAAAAAATGCTTGCTTTGCCTTCATGAAAAACTTACATAATATCATACATAGGTACGCAAGAATTATTAAATAAAAAAAGCAGAATATCTAAGTGCCGTCACGAAAACAATCTTTTGCTTGACAACTACGAACCCAAAGATTAAAAAATTATACCACGTTTGCAAATAGTAACAGTTTTATAATTGTTTTTGAACGTCATGATGTTTATTGGGAGTATACTAGGTTGGTTGAAAAGTTCGCGGAGCGGCACCTATGTTGCAGTAGTAGAAACAAATTTATAACTGTATTAAACGTATTCATTCTTCGTATGAACGCATAAAAAATTTCAAGTCGATATGTCATTTCAGTCTTTGTTTACAAGCTATTGAAATTAGACGTGTCATAGTATTTTTTAAAATGGAAAATATTGAACATCGTGCTGTAATAAAATTCTTTGTGAAAAAAGGTTTAAAGCCCATGGAAATTCGTAATGAAATGGTAAATGTGTTGGGTGATGATGCTCCTTCAAAAACAACAGTATGCAAATGGGCTGCGGAGTTTCAACGTGGGCGTTCAAGCCTTGAAGATGACCCTCGCTCAGGACGTCCAAAAAGTGCTACTACTGAAGAAACGATTAATGCTGTGCATGACATGGTTATGGATGATAGACGATTGACCAAACGTGACATTGCTGAGGCTGTGGGCATCTCAGATGAACGGGTATTACACATCTTGCACGATGAATTACGTCTGAGAAAGCTGTTGGCAAGATGGGTGCCGCATTCGCTAACTCTGGATCAGAAACGCACTCGAGTAAAACTTTCTCAAGAACATTTGGCCCGTTTTCAAAAGAATAAAACAGATTTTGTGCGTCGATTCGTAACCATGGATGAGACTTGGGTTTACCACTATGATCCGAAGCTGCGACAACAAACTGCAGAGTGGACAGAACCCGGTTGTTCAGCTCCGAAGCAAGTGAAGGCGTCAAAATCGTCAAAGAAGGTTATGGCATCAGTTTTTTGGGATGCGAAAGGAATTTTATTAATAGATTACCTTCAAACCGGTAAAACGATAACAGGTGAATATTATAAAAATCTTTTGGACCAGTTGGATAAAAAAATTTGTGAGAAAAGACCTGGTTTGCTGCATAAAAAAATCATTTATCACCAGGACAACGCACCTGCTCATATCAGCGATGTTGCAAAGGCGAAATTGGTCGAATTAAAGTACGAACGCTTGGAACATCCACCCTATTCACCAGATCTGGCTCCGTCCGACTTCCACCTCTTTCCACATCTCAAAAAATTTCTACGTGGAAAGCGTTTCTCATCACATGAAGAAGTCATTGCAGCCGTAAATGGGTATTTTGAAGGCCTTCCGGAATCGCACTTCAGAGATGGGATACATGAATTGGAGAATCGTTGGAAAAAGTGTATTGCTCTTAAGGGAGAATATACTTAAGAATAAAGTCATTTTTTGAATCATAAAATTGTTTTTTCATTTCCGCTCCGCGAACTTTTCAACCAACCTAGTATTATTTTTAACGGAAAAAACAATGTATTTTTTACCTGACGATTGCAAAACACATGAAGCTTTTAGTAGTAAAAGTTATGTAATTATTTTTATTTAATTTCACCAAAAAATCAAATATAAAAACAACGGCATTAATTTTTATCTCCAATCTGATTACTTATGAGTTAGCACAAACAACATGAAATTCGATACTGTGGAAAACAGACATTTCATCAAGATAAAATTTTATGAATGTTTTATCTTTGTTTAGTTTTGTTATTTAACTAACTTTGATTATTTTTCATAATATTATATATTATATAATATTATGATATTTTATATATATGATTATAATATATATATGTTTATATATATGACAAGGGTTGAATTAAGCAATCGCGATTTGCAAAATCTGGAAAAATTTATGATCTTCAAAATTTTATTTTATGCAAAGTCGTGTTACTTTGTTTTCAAGGAGCAAATTATTATAAGTTTGTACTTTTATAATGCAATTAGTTGCTAAAGTGTTATTACTTTTGTAGTCGTAACTTTATTATTTTATTATTTATAATTTTTTCGCAAACTTATAACGATTTTCTCTTTGAAAACAAAGTAGGGGAGAGTAGGGTAATGGCGAACAGCTAAGCGGGAATGCGAATTAAAGACAATTATCACTATATATTAATGATATTTTTTGCTTATTATTTAGTCTAATCATTTGTTTAGAATCACTCAAGAGCAATTTTCATATATCTTATTAAAAAATAAAAAATTCGATTAAAAACAAAACCTTCGGTGTTCGGAATTACCCTACGTACGTGGGGTAATTCCGAACATACAGTGTAATCATGAACATTATTGGCTAACAGCGAATAAAATGTTGATCAAAACAAATCAAACTTGATTGAAGCGTTAAAATATTATTGAATAAAATTTTAATTAAATCAAACGTTTAAGAAACAAACATCAATAAATTTTATTCAAACCAAATAAGATATTACATGAATGAAATGTAAGGTGACCTGGATACTTTCTGATAGTATGTGTGTGTACTTTTACCATCTGTATACAGAAGGTAAAAGTACGAATTGAATACAAAATTACATAAGTGCTTTTTACTAATTTATTAGTGCTCTGTTCTTTATACGCATTTGAGAGCATATATATATATATATATATATATATATATATATATATATATATATATATATATATATATATATATATATATATATATATATATATATTACAATAATAAACTAAATAAATAATGTATAATAAC